CAATGAAGGAAGGGTTCTATTTACCCTTCTGCCTGTTCCAGTGAAGCATATGAAGGGGAAATAGAGCACGTCGTCTCTGTATGAACAAATAAACTAAATTTAAGCTATAATAAGATGAATAGGATTTCTGGCTTGATAGTTCTGGAGGGTGCTGTATAAGTAGTGTTCCTTAGGCAGTCCTTCTAGTGATCATCAGAAATTCTTCTGTTCCCTGCAGCTGTGGATGGTTATTTAGGACTAAGGATTAACTTCATTTGAGAGGTGTGCCGGGTTCTGAAAGGCCAGGATCCAACTATGTATTTGTAACTTTTCTATTTGATGGTGTCAGGAGAACTACTGAGCCAGGTTGGAGAGATGGATCAGCAGCTGTGTTCCTGCGGGGTGGCTGAGTACGATACAGCATGTGGCTGGGGGAGAAGCAAGGTGGGAAATGGCAGGGGTGGCAGTCGTGCACATTTGTTCATTCCAGCTCGAGAGTCGTCTTGCAGCTGAAAAAAGCACGGGGGACTTCTGAAGCTTACCTTACTTCCGAAGCTTGATATTTCTTTATACCATTAAGTACAAAGCAAGGTGATACTTAAATTTGAATCTTTAAACAGTTTACAAACGTGTATTTATTCATCCCTGAAAAAATGGTGTTAGTTAAGTATTAGCTGTGAGTTCTAAATGTAAGACAAATTTGTAGGCCACCCAAAGCACTGATATTAAGGCAAGATCTGGATTTGAAGAGTTTTTGTCAAAGACCACACCCCTCTCTATAACTGGGGAAGTTGGCAACCTCATTATTGAAGAGCAATCTTGGAAAAAGATCTATCTGACTTATGAGTTGCCTAAATGTTCACGTTCTTATCTCTGGACAGCTGCTGGTTCAAGGCAGCCATGAAAGATTCAAATTTAATTAAGGCTTTTCATAATTGTGAAGAACATCTTGCTCATAGTGAATATGTCTGTTAAATATTATGTTCTTTTTGGACACAGTAAGCTATAGTTTTACATACAGAAAGTAGGTTAAGAAATTTGCAAGGAAGATTGGCTCTAAGCACAACAGTTCTACCAGAGATTTTTCATTTTATTTGAAATGCAAATGTCAGATTGGTATTTATAGTGTAAAGCTAGCTGAGCAAAATAAATTCAGGGCGTTCAGACCAGTTTGTCTGCACTTCCTGGAAGATCTTATTACTTAGGCAATTATAACAAACAGGGTTGCGATATCTTTATCTGTGGGCTGGGCTCTAAATTAGTATGAGCGTGTGGATTAGAAGGGATGATAATAATTTAGATTTACGTCTGCTTAACAGTAAAACTTTGATTAATTAAGTGATCCCTCACTACTAAGTGAGGAATTTTTACTGATCAGGCAAAAAAGTAAATTCTTTTCTTCTTAGGGACCTGAAAAGGTGAGTAGATTGGTTCTTGTATTTTACTGGTATATAAATTAATCTAATAAATCCTGAAGGTTAGAATTTGCTAATATTAAAGCTTGTACTCTAATGTTAGAGATAGTTTTTGTTCAGTCTTAACCAAAGCTGAAAAAACTTGTTTTTCAAAATATATGTATATTTTTATATAGGGAGGTAAGTCATGGTGTTCTACATCTGTTGATGTTGTTCAGGAATGAAAACTGTAAAAAGAATTGCAATTAGAATACCATCAAATAGATGGATCCTGTTTGAAGCATTCAGCAGAAGCATTCAGCATGCCTTGGGATTGATACAGGTGTCTTGTTATTTAATAATAATAAAAGAAGTATCCCAAATTGCAGATATTTCTATAGAACTAGATCAGAAATGGTAACTGAAAGCGTATGAGATCTAACAAGCAATTTTCATAATATTGCTCAGAACAGACAAACTGTAAGAAGGGAGTGTCTGGGAAAGTGAGACCTGCCTGAAGCACAAGCAACAGGTCTGTCCAGAAAAAGATGTCAAGCAAGTAATATTACATTATTGCTCTGGAGCAAAGAACATTGCTTTTCTTAATAAATTATTGTTTGATCAGCAGGTTTTTCTCTAGCTTAGTGCAGTTAAGCAGCAAATACACTGTGGATACAGGTGAGAAAACAGGCAGAGTGTGGAGGCTGGGACGAGATAGTAGGCTTAGTTCTGGTGGTGTTTTTCAGCAAAACTTTCTGGTTTGTGCCAAAGTCTTGATGGAAGGTTTTTCTATACCTAAAAATTCAAGTTCATAATGTAATGTATCAGCATTTTCTGTACCTTTTTCGCTACAGACAGTCAAATACTATATTTGAAGTTCAGAAGAAATGTTAGTTAGTCCTGCATTTCTTGTTAGTAACAACTAGGTATTGCTTTAGCTGCTTTAAGCACATGGAGCAGTAGCTTACAGCACAAATAAGAGCATGCAGTGCAATCTAGCAATAGAAACTCTATGCTATTTTTAGTATTTTTCACGCTTTTTATCCCTTCTAATTTTGAGCCAGTCTACTGTCCTGGTTTACCAACACAGCTGATGGCCATAGATATTTGGAGGAGTGGCTGGTGGCCACATCCACCAAAGGAGCAGGGTAGTCCGGGTGCCTCCCTGGCAGCTGCTTCCTGTAGGTGGATTTCCTTTCACTGAGGTGATTATTACTAATGTTATGGTTGCTTTGAACTAGGGGAAATGTTAAAAGGAAAGAGGCTTACTGCAGTTGAGAATCAGGAATGTCTAAAGTATTTAGTGAATCCACTAAGCTACTGGCAGGTAAATGTGACAACAGAAGATGGAAATCTACCAAAACCAACAAATTGAAGCAACAGAACCAGAGGGAGTGTCTGTAAAGTTCACATGTGTAAGCATTCTGAAATTTAAGTTTATATCAACTGACTTAATGACTTTCCAGATTATTCTAAGCATAATTTGTATTAGTTCCAATACCATTAAATGAAACATCTGTCAGATGCGTTTTGGTGAAATTCATTTAAATTTAGCATTGTTCATACTCAAATTATTATTTTGACAAAAATGGAGAGACCAAGCCAACCATTCATTTACATTAATCTTTGCCTTGGGTGACACTAAAGATTTTTCGGCTTTTCTGATAAGGCATGCTCATATTGCTCTTCGGGTCATTTTGATCTGAAGTTAAATAACGGCTTACCCATTATGACAAGCTATAAATGGGAGAGCTCAAATTAGAGCATAGTAGTTTCAGACTCATTCCTGCATCTGCCCCTCTAGGTAGTGGTGTTGTGTACATTGACTAGAATGGACATAGGCCACACACCTTACTGGTAACACGGAGGTTAGTAATAAATCAGTTTGCTTGGTGTGTATTTCACCAGCACCGTGGAGAAGAGCCTGCGTCTTGGGCTTCTTAGTTTGTAAGAAGCAGATAACTTTGACTTGTTAGTAAAAATTTTCTGTTGCACTGGGTTTGTTACTGGGACTGGACATTTCTTATGATGCAGTGATTTGGACCCAGCCTTAAGTGTACTTTTAGGGATTTTTTTATTATTTTTTTTTTTCCTGACTGTCCCTCTGAAACAAAAGTGGGTAGGCTTTTATTTTAAAGCTGACTTTATCCTCTGGCTGCTGATTCCACATTCTAGTGTTTGAGCAGGCTGCAACTGAGAGAGTAGATGTGGGTGGTTTAGCTACCAGTCGTGCAAATTGGTCATGGTGGCCAGGGTCTGCACTGTCACTGGATGAACACAGTACAAAAATATTTTCATCTGTGTGAATTGCCATTAGAGATTATTGTAATATTTAAATTCAAAATAATTGAATTCTTAGCATAGGTAATTGCTATGCATGATAAATTGCTGCATGATAAATAACAGATTGGTGAAATTTCAGTGGCATTGGAATAATCGGCCCCACAAACATATGACCATTGCCTATACACTTATCTATCTGCATCATTTGAAGGATATCTCTGGCCGTTGTCAGGCAGGCATCTGTTGTGGTGTTCAGCAAGCTGTCAAATTGAGCAGTTTTGAATCACGGATTTAAAAACTTCCTGTATCAGAGGACTGAATATCAAGAGACTGAATTGCACCTTCATGAAAGAAACCAAAATTCTATGACCGTTTAAAGGCTTTGTGAGTATTTTGAGTTGTGAGTTAGAGTGCTGCAAAAATTATGCATAAATACAATCCCTGTTCATCGCTGTGTGGGCACTGGTTTCATACTTCAATGATGAAGTGTTGTGCAAAAGGGCCTTATTTCAGAGAGAATTTTCTCACTAGCAGTGAAACGGACAGCGTAAGTTCTTTTCCTCTTTGAAATGTCATCTGTTGACGATAGTGACTGGTACTTGACTTAGAGTCCAGCAACACCAACTCACAAATAGAGACTAATTTTGGAACATTTTGTGTGTTATCCTTAATGTCAGACGGTAACATGAATGTCTTTAATCCTGTTTTAAAGAGGCAGCAGTAACTTCATACTTGGGGCATTATTGGAACAGAAGGAACTGTATTTTCAGTGTCATGAAAGAAGTGGTAGAAAAATTGAATGGGGGTATAGAAAGGAGGAGTAAAAATTATTTCAGAATTGTCTTTACTCTTAAGGCAACAATCAGAAAGCAGAGCTCCTACAGAGTTCTGCTTACAGGTTAAGCATGTTTTTCACCATGTGTGCATTCCTTCACTGAAACCTACTCAATCCTCTTTTTCCCCACAGTGCAAAAGTGCTGAATATTGAATCTAGGAAAGCATTGTTAAGGATGAGGCATAGGGGAATCTCAAGGTTTCAGTATTTGAGATTGTTTGTGTTTGTTTCCATCTGCGTTTCCTTGTTCTAGTAAAATTTCTTAAAAAGAAAAAGATTAATTAACAGTGAATGAAAACCTTAGAAATCCCAAGTCATCTATCAAGAATAGGAACAATTTTGTTAGTTTTCATATTACTAGGCTGTATTTTTCCTAGTGTGGACTTTTGCTTGTGTGGCGTAATTTGTAATCTAAGAGTGACACTTTTCTGTCAGGTCTGGTTTAGTGTAATAAACATGGTTTCGTCTGTCTTTTCAGTAGAAAGAGTAAAGGTCTGAAGAAATCACAGATGATGGCGTCTGACGCTAGTCATATGCTGGAAGCAGCTTTGGAGCAGATGGATGACATCATTGCAGGTATAATAATGCTTTATTTTACACCAATCCATTTTGAGATTTAACTATGTTTGTGTCTTTCCCTTCTGAAATTTTCCTGTTTGTTTTTTTACTTTTTAATGATTCTCAATTTGTCAAGTACTCTGTGACACAGATTCCTGTGGTTCAACAGTTATGTGAAGAAAGTTTAAAGTAAAATAAAGGAAGAAAACCCACAATTCCACCTCAGACATGTGAATATTGAAGGAAGAGAGATTTACTTTGCTCTAATGCTATATGGTAACGTGAACACATCCTAATTCATGTGGTAACATTCCATATTGTATGTGTTGGGTTTTTCTTTCAGTGTGTTTTTGAAAAAAGTTTCTCACACACACACACACACACTATGTATAAAAATACACAGAATTTTCTGTATTTATGATGTATATATTTAAAATAGCTTAGCAATTAATTACCTTCACGGCCTAATGACTTAGAATGCATATCTTTTTGTTGACATTTATATCCAGGAGTAGTGCTATGAGTTTCTTTTTACACAGCTGGTCCACTGGAAAGGCATATGATGCAAGACAGAATTTGCTGTCTTTTGGTGCTCTCATGGTATGGCACTTTAAAAGATTTCCTCAACATTACAGCATCCAAGAAGAGAAGTTGATTTCTGTGGTTAGGACCTGGTAGCCTTGGGGTTTGGGCTCATGCACCATTCAGTATGAGCTCTTAAAAGCAGTATCTGTGTAGGGCCATGATCTCACTTGTGCACAATGGGAAGACATTCACTAAAGCTTTATAAATTTAAATAGTGACACCTATGCTGTGCGTCCTTTTTTTTTTTTTTTTTTCCCCCCCCCTGAAATGATGAAGAAGATTACATCAGCCTCTTGCTGCAGTTGTGCTTCTTCCTGCTCTTCTAGTAAAGCTTTCTATCCAGACACTAATATGGAGCTTCAAATATTACTATCAGACTAGCCATGATTAGGCAGGAAGTCATTATCCAGGATTTTTAGTTTAAAGAATCTCTAGATATTTATTTTCTCATCCACATATGAGTCTTCACTTTAAATGTGCAAGCTTTAACAGACTGATAAGATATACAGAAGTGTAAATGTGAATATGTGATAGACGTGACTCCACAAATAACTTTTCTCACCAATGAAACAAGTTCCAGGCAAATAGGAAAATTTAGATATGTATTTCCTCATCCCTTCTTTTTTCTGAATGCAAATCCTTATTCAAACAAGATTTTAACCAACAGAAGTTAATTGGCATTTTATTTTTTCACATCTTACAAAATGTGTACACAGATAGTCAGGGAAGCATTGCACTTCCCTCAGATATTTAAAGAGAGAACATAAAAAGCAAGTCCCAAACCATAATTCATAGACTAGGGAACTGAAATAATTTCTTAGCCATTGCAAACCTTGGGTTTTGATCCTTGCTAGTGCTATAAAAGAGCCAAAGTAACACAGAAGTCCATGTTCCTTTAATTATGCTATGGAACCTTAATATTCCTTTCCTTTTTCCCCACTTCTTTTTCAGATTATTTGTGCCCATAATGTTTTAGGGTTTAATCTTGATAAATAACAAATACAATTAAATTGTTTCAGGCTTCCAAACAACATTGCTTTTACCGCCCACCCCCACTCACTTAGTTGCCATGGTGGTGGAGAAAGTGATAGAGAGAAGCAAAGCAAATGATGGAAGTAATGTTCTGTATGAATCAGCAGATTGCATATCCCATTCACATCTGTTTTGTAGTGGTGTCGGTGCCCAAGCTCTAAACCAAAAAGAATCAGACATGCTATTGTTATGTAGAGGTTTTTTCCACAGTGCATGGATAGGTCATGAGCAAATTGGCAACCTCTTCAAGAGAACTGACTTTTGACGTCACATTACTTATATTTGTAGTCTAATGTCCACTGATACTCAGTATAATATGAAAAACAGGCTTTTATAAAGATATCTAATGGGAAAAGAAGCAAGATATTTCCAAGACGATGCATCTGTCAAGTCTCATCAATGTTAACTGAGTGTTTCCCATATGATTTCAGAATTTTATCTACCTGTACCAATAAAAAAATCGTATTGCTTTATTCTTTTACTTATTTTTAGTTGTTACAGAAAGTAAAAGTTCAATTGGTTGGGAAGGTTGTTTACCTTATTTATTTATTATTTTCCATTACTGGAAATAGTAAGACATTTTAAGACAGATTAAGTCTGTTCTGGTTGTCCTCTAGCTAATGTTCTGTGTGTTACAGCTAATGTTCTTAAATATTCTGGTATGATTGAAGGACCAAATATATCTGCTGGAGCCTATACTTGGATATGCTTATTATCCCAATTAACCTCAAATTGAGGAGCACAGTAATTATTCAAGCTTGGTTCTCTCTAATTCAATCCAGTAAGCTTCTGTATGCAATTTGGGCAGGGACTGGAAAACAGGAATGTTCACTTGTCCTGTATGGCAAGAGAGCAAATAAGGTAGGAAACTCCTTCAGAAGGAAGACTGAAGGACTGTCATGAAACAAACCAGGACTGAGAGTCTTCTAACTGCAGATTTATATATACCATATTATGCAAATATTGGACAAATCATCTGTGCAAATGTAGCTTAGAGTGGACTGGAAGCAGCAAAAAATCGACTGTTCAGAGCATATGCTATTTCAGTTCACTGTATCCAGATTCGGTGGATATCTCTAGGCAGCGCTGGGTTCAAAGATGAAGATTAAACTTCATGACTGTTGGAAGCTTATGTAGCTGATGAAAAACCTATTTCTTTTACAGTGATGCCTGAGTGGGTAGTAGGAGAGCTACGCTTTTCTCTTGGCCTTAGAAACACTTGCTTTAGGCACAAAATAGCATTAATCACTATTTTAGAGAAGTGAGAAATCCAGAGAGGTATAACTTGCATTGGTTAATTTTTGAAGCTTGAGTAGATGTGTTTATATACATGTGCAAAACCATCATTCTCTCTGTTTAATGAGAAAACGGTCCTGATTGCTTTTATTAGCTGTAGTTATTACTAAAACATTAGATTGTGGTCTTGTCCTTTAAGGTAAGAACTGGGCATGCAAATACATATTATAAATATTTACAGATCTGCAGTCCTACTTTTAGGCTTCTAACTTTGAAAGTCGTGTCCCTTACTCCAGATGTTAATATAGCTCATACATGATTCTGATTAATCTAACTAAAAAGTCTCACTGTAGACTGTGCATCTTGGTGCAATACAAAATGTATTAGTGTTTAGAGTGCATGATGGTAGGATTGTGAAGCAAGATTAACAAATTGAATTTCATTGGGCTTGATCAAATTTGACAGATAGGTCAGGGTCCCCAAGTCTTTTATGCTTCAGTACATCTGTACTGATAACCCACCCTCATAGCTATATAAATTAGGCATGCTAAATGATTAGCCTTATTTGACTAAAATAGCAAAAAGGGCTAATGTGATTGTCAATGAACATGACTTATCCATTAGCTAGAATGACCTGCACTCCAAACAGAGGCTTTCTCTAAAGAAAGCACCCGTATGTCAGATCTGTCTATGCATTCTTTATTTGAGGTGCTTGGCTTTGGCAGTGTTTCTCTCTGAGATTTGACCAGGTCATTACTTTCCCTTTTATTCATCTTGTACCCATTTATTAAAATGTGTTTCTTTATAGGACTAGAGTTTTTGATTATTTTTTCTTTGCAATATATCCTAATTAATTAAAATAATTTTTATTTTACTTAATTATTTTCTATCAAACTACTTCTCTGTCAACAATCTGGAAATCCATTATTTCCTTTTGTGAATAATGACAATAGTTGTAAGATCTAAAAACTCCTGTCATAACATTATAGTCTGCTGCAGCTTCAAAGTCTCTTCAAAATCACCAAATAATCAGTGTAATCATTGACTTTCCTATTAACCAGAGCTCCTGCAATTACTGCTTACTGAAAAAATAATGAGAAAGTTAAATGTGTTATCACATGGGTGCGTACTGATATGTCAGTATTAGTACTGAAAGATTAAAAAATATAAATAATTAAAAAGTTTTTCAGTAAGTTGTCCAAGAAGGACGCATGTTTAAATCTCCATCTCTTGAGGTGGCAGAATGCTTGTGCTCAGTTCATTGCCTTGGCTACAAACCCGACTACTTCCCGCACCCCTGATGAAAAAGGGACCTTTAAAGGAAATAATACTTACGAGCTGAACAAGATTTTAATTCCAGTTTAATGTGTTTTCCTCATGAGATCTATCTGCCGGAATTTGAAGGAGGACCTGTTTGCAGGGGCTTTTGTGAGGTTTTTTCTTCTTTTTTTTCTTTTATTGTTCTGCCCCATCATAATTTTAGTACAAAAACAATGGAGTTCAAGTTCCAGAGCTATGCTATGTTCCTGGATGTGTTAGATTACTACATCACCCCAGTTAACTGATTAGAACTTGGATTAAAAATTAAGGAATTGACAAAAAATGCTAACACTGTCATTTGAACCCCTTTGGATGAATTTTAGATTTTCTGGAATAAGGTTTTCACTGAGTTCCAACGTAAATAATAGGAAATGAAAGTATTTCCTGGTGACCTTATCCTTTACCCATGAATAGTCATATATGTCATCACAGGATTCATTCAGAATGTAAGAACTAGTCTCACAACACTTTAAGTGCAGACGATAGACAACTCTGTTCTGCTTCGTAAGGGATTGAAATTGTCCAGACCAGACAGAGAGCACTTAATCCTGTTTTTTTGTGATGTGTGGTGGGGCTGGTGGGTGGGTCTTATTTGAGATACATTTGAGTGACATGCAGCTGATGGGCAGTGTTAGCCTCTTGTGATTGTGTAGAATGACTAGAGAGTAGCTTCTACTTTTCATTTCAATTTGTATACTTCCAGAGAGCTTTATGTTTTTATCACTTATGTCCTATTCAAGGTTCACAGTATTTTCAAATTCAAAACCTAGTTTCTGTCATAAAGGTTTTTATAATTTTAATACAGAGATCTTTATAGAGTTTCATTTTAGACCACTGTGCTGACA